GGTCCTTCTGCGACATAAAGCCTGTGGGTCTCAATGGGAGCCACTCAAGAACAATTGCTTTTAACTTTGCAAGACCAATCATAGGTCGGGTCTTCGTTGAATCCAGGTCAATTTAGCATTTGGAGAGCTGTGAGGGGGTTCACATGGTACTCTCCTCACTACTCTGAGGATTTCGCTCAAGTGAGCGAAACAAGTCGCTAGCCCATACCCAAAGGTTCATGAGCAAAATCTTACTCTCTTCCTGTTTTTTGTATGGCAACTTAGTTGACTTTGTAATCAGTTGTTTTATTATTTTTGTCAAAGAGTGTTATTCCCATTAAACTTGGTAAAAATCAACTGACTGATGATGTGATAAAAACTAAATCCTCCCCGCTGGGATGCTTCACACGTCGAAGAGAATGTCACAAAATAGCATTTTGATATTAGAGTATTTGTTAACTTGTTCTTACACCTGTGATCACAGTGTTCGTCTTTTAAATTGCAAAATGTCCGCCACCTGAGATGGATACAAATGGCTGGATTTTGCTGCCAATTCATGTTTTCACAAATGAAATATCAATCAGAAAACCGTGTTTCGAGTCGCGGGGGCGCATTGAAGATAAAATTGTAAAGAAAATATCCCCCCCTTTAAGAATGTGACTTACATTTCTATTAACTTATTTTATGATGGTGACAGTTGACTCGAACTGATTATTTCACTTTAGATGATTTCCGACAGAAGTCTCCAAAGCATTCAATTTATTTCCCAAATATATTTAAAAAAATATATCTATTACACACACACACACACACACACACACACTTTTTTTTTTTTTTTTACTGTATATGCTATTTATTTGTCCAAAATGACACGTTTTAATGAAACATTTCAAATCGTATTCAAGATATGCAAAAACTCCCAAGTCCAGGCTGCTATGCTTATCTTGATAACGCCAAGGGGGTAAAGGTTCATCATAGATAATTTTGTTTGGATCCAAGGTAACAAAAATTTCAGGTGCTGATAAGACTTGCATGACAGACGTTTTAAACCTTGGCATGCTGTTCATATTTATTTTTATTACGATGAAGCCTTGCTGTATGCATACACACATCCGAGGCCAAAAAAAAAAAAGCCACAATGCTGCACTTTAAAAAGCAAAGAGGCCTCTTCTGCCTCCACCATAAATCAATACATTCCGACACATTTGTCAGTGGCTGGCAGAAAAGCCTAAAGGCAAACTACTTTTCTGCCCTCAAGCAAAGACTCTCGGTTTGTGGTGACAGGTCAAAGAGTCAGCACATGACTCATGAACGGTTGACATTTCCCTTTGGTGGAAAGCACTCATTTTCGACCGCGCTGACCGGCGTGACATGAACAAACGAACCAGGTGCTCCTGACATTGAGGCTTGTCGATAAGCAAAACGCACATATTTTCAGGCTTGAACCAAAGTTGGAAAACATTCATTGCTGCATGCAGAAACTGACCAAAACTTGGGAGTGAACCCATGTAAAAGTTGCTGGCCAAACATCGTCATTCATGACCAAACTGCTTATCATGCAAGAGTACACAGTGTCAAAGCATTAAGTCTGGTGTTTGGGAGTATTTTCGATGGATGTTCTGTGAAGACTATTCACCAGGAGTTGGGTTAAGTCAGCAGACACATTCCTTATGAAGTGACAGTGAAGTCCAAACAGTGGAGCTGACTGCTAACACCAAGTGCTAGATCTTGCTGCTAGCACTGTAGCGCAAATGACTGGCTTGCTTCCTTTGTAAGAATAGGTGGTCATGAAGCATGAGAAGAACTGCACTTATTGCCATACTTTCTGTTTTGCATTTGATCGTTTCATGTTTGGGACCTAGAATTTTTGTCCATACACATATTTACAGGACAATAATTATAACAACGTTAGCCATAGCCTGTGGTGCATTTTTTGGGCGTGCAAATTCGGGTTATCGCCTGATATTATGGCGGCGATGGGCTGACTTTGCAGCAGATTCATTCTATTAACCACAAATATGGCTTTGAAGATGAATTGGAGGTTCCTGAAATATTAGACCTTTGAAGTTTCACTGGAGTGTGCAGTGAACCGTGTGCCGCAAATAGTGAATATTTCCGGGTAATTAAACTCCTCGCATTACTTCAGAACCAAGATGCCCACAAATGGCGCTAAAATTGTTCTGTAGTTGCTTTGGCCTGAGACAAAACAACGATTAGGTGAGTTTTCCAGCAAATACCAGAGGATCGGTTCCCAAAAAAATCAGGGAATATATAAATTAGTGAATGCCGAGCTGCAAATACACAGGATTCACAATACAAGGATGTTAGCATCGACTATAAAGGCTTTTTTCTGGTAGAGGTGACATTACAGCACTTTGCAGATGGGAGAGGCCTTAGAGTCATTTGTTTCTAAGACCTAATTAATCTTCATTGCGCTGGGAAACATAGCACCTCCTTGCAAAAAGGCTTCCTTCTACTCGATAATTGCACAGAGTCTGGGGGCCTGAGTTTCCCCGACGACACACTCTGAAATTTAATTATCTGCTCTTTGGAAAATGTAAGTGAAGAAAGCTACGTTGCAAAAGTGCACTTTTGGACTAGCAAGGTCAGGCTCCATCTCTGGCCACATCTCAGCTTGTCATAAAGTCAAACAACTAAGCTCTGTCATTCTATATGAAGGCTTTTTTTTTTAAACTTAAAGCACAAAATGCACATTGAGCTCAACATACACAATTCGAGTATCTCACAATATGAAAAGGGTTCTTCTGCATTACCCAGCCTTAGTCCAGTCTTGGGAATAATGCAGACCCCATGACATTACAATAAAACGTGACTCAGAGCTGCCCGAAAAACAACAGCAGCGGCATTAACATTCCGCCGTGCAAAGATCAGACTCAGAGGGGGCAAAAACATCGATAGGATCCCATTAGTTAAGTGCGCCCTTAGGATAGCCGAAATTTGATCAGAGGCAGACCTCTTCTGTCCAGACACAAACCATTAGAAGGCTGTGGTGGAAAAAAGGCTGCTCCTCACAAACTACCCCTTCTTCGTCACTCCTCCTCTTCCTCCGAGGTCGATGTACGGCACGGTGACGTCAACCTTTTGTTATCACCTTTAACACTTCCCTTTGCAGGTGCATAAAAAGCCTTCTCACTCATCATGAACATCACTGCAGTCATACAGTTCCATGTGCACCGATACGAGGAGATAACTCAATAAAGCCTCGACATAAATAACACAAGCAACTTTAACCACATAAGACCCCGTGAGGCACAACTGAATAAATACGATAAAGGTGATTTGGCACGGAAATGGTCGTAAATCCACAACTGTTGTCACAAGAACTAGCTGGGCATCTTCATAGTACTAATCAAGAACCGGTTTCATTCAATACTCCTTTGCTTCGAGCATGAATGTATTGCGAGTTTAAATTAGACTTACAATACACCGTGAAACAGTCGGCTTGGTCTTTAGACGTAGAGACCGTAGAGGAGCTACAAAACCGCAGGTTGCTAGTGGTAAGAGTGCCAGCTGAGTGGCCACCTCCAGGCTAGCTAACCTCCTAGCACGCCTCAAACGTACACACACAGTCCCATTGTTGCCCTCTCCTCCTCGCCTTTTCCCAAATAACGTGCGACCAAATGTGGCGCAGGTGTCACCGAGTAGCAAGCACGAATAGCGCGTGGCCAACACACGACTACTTACTCTCCGTCCACCTCTGCAAAAGGCATCGTTTAGTTGGTCGCCATGGCTCAAAACGGACAGAATTACTCCCGTCGCTCTGCGCTCCCGAATCACTGCTGCTGCTGTGGTGCTGCTGCTGCTGCTGCTGCGGCTGCTGCTGCTGTCTGCGGCAGGCAACTTCCGGCGCATGCGCGCTGCACGGATACGTCTACCCAGTTGTTAAAGGTACAGGCGGGTTGTGACCGTATTTACAAGTGCATAAAGAGGGTCCGAAAAGGTCCCGACATACGTTCGAGGTTAAGTAATAAAAAGCAGCGGAGTAGTATTCAGGTGAGAGTAAGACAATCCTTCTCTGGAATTTATAGTGGAGACAATGGGACCCCTCAAGGTTGTTATCGCACATTATTTTTCATTGAAATTACTCGTGGGTCTTTAAATTGAAAGAACATTGAAAAATAGCATTTTACACACTGTACTTTTAGGTAATATGTTTTGTAATGAGGAAAATAGCACTCTATAAGATTAAACGTTATAAAAACACATTGGAATGACATAATTCCATAGAATGTCAAGAATTAAACGGTCTTTGTGACACTTTTTGCTTCAATTCAATGATCCTTCATTGTTCCTTCTGGCCCTTGACCACCAAGGGGACAGATATACGGTAGATGGAGACAGAGAAGACGTCATCACTCATCAACAGCAATATTAGGTGTTCTTTTGCAGAAGATGAGGAATATATGCCTGTGACTGTTTTCAATTATCTGTCTAGATGTGTTGCTCCACCATTTGTATTTATATATGTGCTTTGCCTAAACAGTGACAATATCATTGCATAGAGGGTAATCATTACCCCACCTGTTTATGTGGTTCCCCAATGTATGTTATTGTTAGCATTGGGCTAGGGGATTTAAAAGTTATGTGATTGTTTTTAAAAGGGCAGTACAGAGATTCAAACCCGAACTTCAGAACTGTGAGGCAGACGTGCTAACCACTTTTCCAGCCATGCTGCTATTCAAATACCCTTGCCCGTGAAATTTCTCACCCTGATACCCAGTTATGGCTGGTGGTGTTTGTTCTGTTTGGAAGTAAATGAACTGTCTATGCATGATTGGGAGCCACCAAGCATCATAATATTGCTTCGGTGCATTTTCTCGGTCTTGCTGCACTCATCCAGAACATGAAAAACATGCATGTTTGACTATGTGTTTAAGGAATCAATTGTGTCACGCGCTCTGCGATTTGATTAAAGGCTGTGTTTGTGTTAGCCCATGTGTACAAATCCTTTTAATCAAAGAGATATATTTGTGTGACTACTGCAATAATTGACTCCCCTCCTTAGTATCGATGTCAGTTTATTATCAGAAAGAGAGAAAGCAGTTTGAACTTCTGCCACAAAGTGACGTTAAAAGGAGAAACAACATACTGAGGGTATCACAGTGACACAAAAATAACCCCAAATTACTTTCACAAAAGTTGAATAGTCCTCCAGAGCATGCCAACATTTGGACAGGAATAAAACAAATGCAACAGGTCTTTTCCTTCTCACAAAACCTGTTTTATTTTTGCCATTTATTCACAGAATTTGGATGAAATTATTTTATAAAATATTTTATGTTTAAATATTCTAGAATATGAATCCCGACTACTGATTTACTCTGTCAAGGATGTTGATTGGTTCACTTTAATGTCTATTTTGTAAATGGCAAGATGGGCTGTTCCCTCTGATTTGTGGGCCTGGAAAAAAAGAGGTATTTTTTTAATTTAAAAACAATCAAATGCAAAAATATTAATTAATTACATCACATCAGCTCCTGATGACGCTAGCCTGCTATGCTCGATGGCCAGTCCAGCCTTGCCGCTGATTGATCATTTTAGGAACAATTCAATGTGTTACTAAGAGTCAATGCTTTTGTTTCTTGTGCTTTGTGAGTTTATATGTGTTCAACTTTGCTGAGAACTTTTGTCACTGCTTTTGTTCCTAGTTTTTAACGGTGCTTTTCTAGTTTTGCGTTTTTGAAAAAGTCTCGTGTTATTTTTGATACCCGTGAATCATCCTTTTTGTATCCTTGTCAGTGAATTGTCCAAAGACAGTAAATGTTTGTTTGCCTCAAGGCGATGGATGGATGGAGGAACCTGTAGCCGACTTCTCTGACATTCCTGGAATAAACTATTCCAAATACCGGTACTCACTTTCCAACACCCGGGCTGCATTACATGTATTATAATGCTGCTGCTAAATTCTGCCGGCAAGCCTCACTCTCCACATCAGTGACTGAAAGAAGGATAAATGTGGCGTGAAAGCCCAATCACATGCAGCGCTTAAAGTTCAGCAGGTGGGGAAGCAGCAGTAGCAGCAGGCTCCAGTAGGAAATAATACAAAGTTAATGATGCAGAATGCTGCTCTCTCACTCCGTAGCAAAGACGACATCAATACTCGATGTTAAAAGAACGCCGTTCCCAATTATGCTCTTTATATTCACCGATGACATGACTGATGATTTCAAAGGGAGTCATTATTGATTCCCTCGGCGGGCAAGTTGCATCGATTGGAAGTCTTTACTTGATCTCCCCCGCTGTGAAAGAGATTGTACAATCAGAGCGTGAGTGTGACCTGTACGGTTAGTTTGGGGGTTAAATTGCCGCTTTAAGAAAAAAGGTAGCCGGTGCAAGGACAGAACAGTGATTGCTGGGTGAAGGGACCTCGAGGGTCTGTCACATGATGTGGAGTCTGATTGATAAGCAGTCAAAAGTTGCATATTGGTAAAAAAAAAAGTTAAATGTGTAAGGATGGTGGGGCCTCTGCAGCCAGCCAGCTGTGAGGCATCACACCTCTCAATGCAATCAGGGTGTGATGGATGCTGTGATGCACTGACACATTGTTCCCCCTCTTCCCACTTCTGCTCCTCAATGACATGCCTCCATGGCTCATGTGCTTATTATTCCGTGAACTTTGTTATTCCTCATGAGCAGCCAGGTCTTATTCGAGGAGGCACTGCCAGTTAGTGCGTGTCTGATCCCAGCTAGTGTTAGCACTGGAGCATAAAATGCGATGCCTGATGTCACCTTGTTCTGTCATATATGTCACACGCCGCATGTTAATTACATCGAATTGATTGACTGAAATGTAGAAGCGCGGCGAGGTTTTCATCGAAGCACGTGAAGTCTTATTGGCAAGTGCTCTTCAAATGGCAATGTGGGCTACAGCTTATGATTAAATGGTCTGTGGGCAAATCCTTTTTTAGCCAGAGTGCTCTTCCTGAAGGCCAAAGTTAATGCAGTCATAGAGAGCAGTCTGATACACGCCCACGTGAAACGGTCATGTGAGGAAAACCCTGAGGGGGTGCAGGCCTTGAATGAATGTGAGTGAGTGAGCGAGTGGGAGGAAGGCAGAGGGGCGAAAGTTTCCTGATCCTCAAATATCCTTTTGGTCTTTGCCTCACTTTGAATTCCGCAGTAAAGTGTCAGGTAAAAGCTCCGTTTTTGTCTTGCGCGGTCGTGGTTGAAGAGCTTTTCGTGTTTGATGATGACAGATTGTGAGCTACCTGATATCCTTCATCATCCTTCCCCACTGGAGGTGTGTGCTGCACCCTGAGCGAAGTCCTCCAGGACTAACAAACAGCCGGCGTGTTTGGACGTTTGCGGAGACATCTGCTCGGCCTGCCTTTAGCACAGCAAATGAAAACAACATGTTATCTTCATCTTTCAACCCGCAAAAAGTATCTGTTTGAGTCAGACGATTAACCTCACATATACATATGAAGGAGGCCTCCGTGGGATGCTATTAACTGATATCAGTGATCATCAGCTCGTGTGTAAAAATGAATGCGTACTTGAATTAATGAAGGATGAGCAAGGAACATGGTAGAGGAGAATAAGGATGGATACAAGTCGTAATTGAAAAGTACATTCTCTTGTCAAGATTGGAGAGGAGTGTATCAAGCTGGAAAGGTGTTTGTGACAATTTTTTTTCTCCTGCCAAAAAAGAGAACACTGTAAGCTTTTTTTATAGAGCAGAACCAAGGGAAACGAAATTAATTATTCAGAATATATTTTCTGATTTAATTATGAAATGTAAAAAGGATTACTCTGTTGAACAATAAAATAAATCCGAGGCACGTGGAAAATACTTAGCTCATTTGTTAAAAAGAAACAAAACAGAACAAATTTCCCTAACTGTTTTAACAATGATGATAATAACACTAGCAATCATGATGAATTGGTATAAGCACGGTAGTGTTTTTCACTGAAAGGAACTCATCCACCATTTTTTCGAAAAGGCACGGATATTTATTAAATTATAGACCTTATTAGTCGTTTCAAGAACAAAACAGCGAGAGTGGAATGTCAATGACATGACCATAGGAAAATAAGTAAATTATATAAGTGCAGACCCTTTAACTCATATGTAACAGTTCTCTCAAATCAGGTTGCTTTCCCACCAAAATGAAAGTGGCCAAACTGATGCCGTTGTACAAATAAAATCAATACATTTTTCACAAATTATAGGTCTGTATCTTTTCTGTAGTAGCCGTTCTCAAAAATATTCGAGAAAAAAAGTGTTGCTCAGTTGGACATTGTCAGTGATAAATATGTTGCTCATAGATAGTCAATACATGGAGCTCAATTTCGTAAAATGATGCTTTTTTTTGGCCGTCATGAGAGTTTTGGCCGGTTTTAATTTATGCCGCTAGAGAGCAGTGTCGTCAATGAAAAGACTATCTTGACACCGGAAATCTTGCCTCGTTGGTCAAACAAACATGGCGGCGCCCTGTTGACAGGGTTGGTGTGACAGAGAAACAGCGACGCAGATTTTAATCGTACGTTTAATCACATCTAGCTGCGTCGAAAAAATATTCGTCTTAACGTATAATGGCTCTCAGAGTGTGCAGGCGTTTTTTCAGGGACTGGGCTGTCCTCTCCAGAGGACTCGTCGTATCTGATCAAAAGGAACCTGCGCAATGGCTCCTCACCACAGGTTAGCTCTCCAAAGTTTGATGGTCATTCGGAAGATTTTTAACGCGAGTCAGCGTTTACTTTAAAGTTGAACTCAAACTTAAGCTAGACTTCCAAAATGGCCCTTGGCCTAACCCAAATACAACGTATCCACACACACACACACACACACACACACACACACACACACACACACACACACACACACACACTGAAAAAACACAAACTCGTGAAACATAATTTGAGCAGAGTTCAGCGATGGTGTATCCTCTAATCAGCTTCACAGGTGTCTACTGTAGTCACTGTACTATTTGTTGGGATTGTGTGTACCACACTAAACGTGGACTTGAGAAAGCAGAGGAAAGGGTTGTCTCAGGAGATATGTATGTGCCGCCACAAAAAAACGCACACACACACACACACACACACACACACACACACACACACACACACACACACACACACACACACACTGAAAAAACAGTAACTCGTGAAACATAATTTGAGCAGAGTTCAGCGATGGTGTATCCTCTAATCAGCTTCACAGGTGTCTACTGTAGTCACTGTACTATTTGTTGGGATTGTGTGTACCACACTAAACGTGGACTTGAGAAAGCAGAGGAAAGGGTTGTCTCAGGAGATATGTATGTCCACTACTTGCCAGTGCAGTAATGGAACTGCTGGTGTCTTTGCAGGAAATGCTTCATGTTGCTGCAGAAGGATCAACTGGTTTACCTTCAATCCAGCCTGTTCTTTTACATCGGATGCATTTGTGAGCAATCTGCTGAAAGGCAGCATTGCGGAGGCAGAAAACAGGCATTATCGCCTTCCCAACTCTGTTCCTCCAGGCACCGGTAATTTGACGAATGAGTCCAAGATGAACACGCTATCCTTCAGGGCTAGTGTGGCTGTCATCAAATTTATTTAATCATACACATGTTTGTGTTTTCATGATAGGTGAACAAATGGCATTACTGCTGAAACATCCTGATCAACCTGAACACTCAAAAGTTTTGAAAGTGGCAATAATTGGTTCTCCGAATGCCGGGAAGTCCACTTTGTCCAACCAGCTTCTTGGCAGAAAGGTCTCTTTTAAACTTGTAATTCTGTCTTTTAGCCTCCCGAAACAATAAAAAAGGCCTAAATTGGCATACGCACATCCCAAAAAGGTTTAAAATTTTCTGTTGTCGTACCAAGACTGACATGAGAGAGACAAAATGGCAACTGTGCTTTTTAATCTATAAATATCTGGTTACATTGAAGGTATTTGCTGTCTCCACGAAAGTACACACAACCCGGAAACGAGCCCTGGGAGTCCTAACAGAGGATGATACACAGATTGTAAGACTTTGCATCTCTTCCTATACATTACATTTAAGTGAAGCTCACTGCTGAACCCGACACGTTTTATTTTAGATTTTATTGGACACACCAGGCCTTACCACACCATCGAAAGTCAAAAGGTACCTCCGTCATATTTGCTCACTGTGTGTGAATTCTTACTAACGTACACATTTACAGACATCAGCTTGAGAAGTCTTTGCTTTTGGATCCCTGGAGGACGGTGACAGAGGCCGACCTCAGTAGGGCAGCATTTTTTTTTTGTCATTTTTTTGTTAAATATAGTGGCTAGATGTCAAGGTTTAACAAAAGTACCTGTCTGTTCACAGTTGTGGTCATGGTTGATGTGTCGGACAGATGGATGTGCAGAAGGCTTGACTTTGAAGTGCTCAAATGTCTGGCACGCCATCCGTCCATCCCAGCGGTACTTGTCCTCAACAAGGTATTCCCTCCGAGGATCACCCAAAAAATGGTCAGGGGTCCTTCAGGAAAAAAAACAGGGTTTATACCCGTTTGTCTTTAAAAAGTGGTCGCTAATCTAATGGATGCTGCAGCATATTTAATTCCTGCGTGCATCCACACAGTGCTTTGTATGGACATGTGCTGTAATCAAGAAACACAAATGTTTTAAAAAGGAAGGCAAGGTAACAATATTCCAAAATAGATTTCCACATGGTCTCAGTGCCACACATTAAAAGAAGTACTGAAGAAGAAAAGGACACACTGATTTTTTTCCCACCTCATCCCTTATTATCTTTTGTCTTGAAGGTAGACGAGGTGAAGGTCAAGGACAAGCTGCTGGACGTCACAGCCGAGCTGACATGCGGGGTCGTGAATGGCCAAAAATTGCGCATCCGACCAGTGATCAAGCCCTCTTTGGTGGGAAGGAGGCCAGGGAGGGATCGGGAAGAGTCGCAGGACCAGGACGCCGCTGAGCCCGGGGACGCTGCTGATGGAGACGAATATGCGTTGTCCAAAGAGCAGCTGAAGACCCTCATGAGCCAGAAGGGCTGGCCACACTTCAAAGATGTCTTCATGCTCTCTTCCCTGGATAAAGAGGATGTGGGGACACTCAAGGTTTGGAAAAACGTAGACATGGTATAAAATATTATGGAGCTTTCAATTCCAAAAGCGTCATCTAATCATTGCATTGCTGTTGTGCAAAAAAAAAAATCAGTTAATGTGCCATCAACCTTCGACCGAGCACTGACAGTACCGTTACATGACTATCACAGCACTACCTCATGAGCGCGGCCAAGTCTGGAACCTGGCAATACCACAGTGAGGTCTTGACAGACCAAAGTCCAGAAGAAATGTGCATCAACATGATCAGAGAGAAGCTTTTGGAGAACCTCCCCCAGGAGGTGCCCTATTCATTGACACAGGTGAGTAACAAATGACACTTCGTCACGCACACTGGTGGTGCCCCCGGTCGCCTACTCTTCGCCTTGGCGCACCGAGTCCACTTTTGGCCGATATCATGTCGATCATTTGGACCTGAATCTCTTTCTGCTTTCAGTCAATTGAGTTTTGGGACACGGATGGGAAAGGACAGCTCAACATCTTGGTGAAGATCCACACCAAGAAAGAAACTCACATGGTAGGTTCATATTCTTGGAAGAAGGCCGACATACTCAACCACGTCAAATTGATGGTCATATGGAGCGCCAATCCCAGGGTGTACAGTAGAGAGCTGAAAGGCTTTGACATGCAATAACATTTGCTAATTCTGGGATCTTTGTGCCAACTATGTGGAAGTGAGTTGAGTAGCTTCATCTTGTAGTGCTTTGCCACCATCTTGTGGCGTCTTGGTGCCAAAGAACTATGTTGACAGGCGATGGACCTTCATTGTGATGAAAATGCTGCAACGCCACCATCTTGTGGCGACAGAAAATCATAAACTGTCTTGAGAGAATGACGATGATTTTGGCTGTGGCCACGCCTCATCTGCCATTTTTACATCATATGCAATGTTTTCTGCTTTTGTTGTCATTTAGGAAAAAAAAAGATTTTGTATTAAAAGCAGACGCTGGTGTATTTAAGTCTGCACTCGCATCGGCACATATCCACTGCGCCTCAGATATTTACCCACTTTTTTTTTTTTTTTGCATGCGCAGAGGATGGTGATCGGCACATCAGGCCAGATGATAGCACGTATCGCCCAAGAGACGAGCGAACAGCTGACATCCATCTTTCTGAGACAGGTCAAGCTGAGGCTGTCGGTCAAGATGCAGAAGTGATGATGAAGATGAAGAGAAGGGGCCGACTTTTAAATATGCAGACGTGCTCCCTGATGGACTGAATGCCCCCCCCCCACACACACACACACACAGAGTGACACAAACAGGTGGATAGATGAGAGAGGTGACATCTCAGAACTTTGGAAGGGTGCTAGTGTGCCTCAACATTCTTTGCTCTTTGTGAATCTGCTTCTGATTATGTCAGTGAATAACCAATTATGTTTAACATCACTTGTACTCATTAGGCTCGCTGGAGCCTCTGTCAGCTGATAATGGGCAAGAGACAGGGCATCATCTGGCGCGTTTTAACTCATTCACTGCCATCTATTTTCAGGGCAGCCACCCGATGTTCTCGAGTATATTGACTGCTTTTGCAAAACCAATAGAATATTATCCTCCATGATTATATGTAAACACCAAATCTCCCAAAAGAAAGAATAAATTATTTTCTTTACCCAGGTAAAAAAAGTGTGATTTGTTCTTTTTCTGTTCGGTCATAAGTCAAATGACAACAATAATGCAAAGAACTTTGTGGCTTAACTCCAGACTGACTGAAATGAAGTATTTTCGCAGCCTTTGCGATTTGAAAATTGCATTCTAATACACTGCAACGTTGATTTGAGTTTAATTGCTCAGCCTTAGAACCGACTACATGCCAGTCACAGAGTACGTAATATCGATGTTTTGTGTGCATTATGTCAGATGTTCATCATCCTCCCTATTCTGCCTGGTTTCAGTTTAACCTCAACGACGTCGTGTGACGTCATCACTCCGGAAGAACGTATTCTGAATCGCATTTAGTGTTGAAACTGCTGGCGAGCAACGATCTAATGACTGTTTAATGACAAACATGTTGTGGCCGGATGTGGTACTACACTGAAGGCGCGCACTCGGACTTGCCAGTAATTATACTGTAAAAGAAATCACAGAAAAAAAAACGTAACCGTGTACATATTGTTAAGATTGGTTAAAATGTGTGTGGTATTTTTCCAAATGATCTTAACGAAGAAATTTTGAACTGCCTTCAAAATGAACTGTCTTGAGTATTTGCAGCCTCTATTTTACATGGTTTGGTTTTGACAGTACAGTAGTTGGATATCATGTTGACAGCAGAGCGGGTTTGGCGAGCTTATGGTTTATCAGTGGATGTCAGGAGGTTTCACTCGACACTGCCTTCGACTGCTACTACTACCACACATGGTATCTGCGCTGTCGTCTCTCCCATCCATTGAGAACAGGAGATCTACAAGGTCATTTACGGGAATAAGTTGAAAATTAAAACAATTGCAGTTTAATGTAGAGTATTATTATTATTATTATTTAATGTAGAGTGCAATACACATTCAGCCGTCCATATACAATTAACATATCGAATAAAAGATGAATATTCACATTTATACTCTAGCTTTTCAATTTTTTTCGAGCCAAGGCACATTTCTTTCATTGAAAAAATCCCGCGGCACACCACTAGCTGAAAATGTGAAAAAAGCTTATTTCAATAATTAAGTGTTCTACTACAATAAGCTGTTTTTAAACATTGAAAAATAACGCTATATTATAACACCTTGAATAGGAATCAAATTAACATCAATCCAATATTTTATAATCTTTCATAATTATTCTCACTCAGTGTGATAAATGATTTGGATGAACACAGATCTGATATCCTGGCAGCAATCGATGATAGACACAGAAGTAGCTCTCATTCTTTCTGTTTTTAGTTTTTACAGCAGTCAGGCTATTTCTTTAGCCGCTTCGGCTCCGAACATCTCATTTACAATGGCTTTGCAGGCGGGAAGTATTAATTGCTCTGCCACTTATTTGATTTAGCCACAAATTCAGCGACATGGTAACTTGCTTTCAAGGCTCTCTCGTTTACCTTTGCGGTTTTTCTCATGCACGTTGCTTGTTTCTCCGTGTATTCACACAGGCGGACAAAATACTCCACATTGTTGTTTCGAAGTGAAGGCTGTTTCGTTTAGAGATGGAGTTTAAGCTTACTTGGGACCATAGCGCTGTTTCACCACATACCAAGCACAACGGAGTCGGTGGCGTGGCATCCCCGGTAAAAGTACTTGTAAATCTAAATGAAAGATACCTTTCGTTGTATCGCCTCGCGCCGGAAACTTCGTTTGTCTCGAAGCATAAGGTAATTAGCTAGCTGCTGCTGCCACCTTGCGGTATGGAAGAGTACTACACGATTACTGTGCCATGCGATCGACCGCACAGGCATACATATTGGATAATTTCCCACGGCACACCTGACAATATCTCTTGGCACAGGGTTTGAAAAACATTGGTCTAGCTAGACATCTCATTGGAGATATATATGCAATTTTCCTCCACATTTTCAGCCCGAATTGTTGCTTTTAATTTTCCTCCGCTATGGCCACACGAAAGTGATTGGACGCAGCCGGCAACATGACGAGTACTTGCAGTGCCCTTGAACGCCTCACACAGCAACTTTGTCTCTCCTTCGCCACTCATTAAAAAACACACACACACACGCACACACACACACACACACACACACACACACACACACACACACACACACACACACAAACACAAGGCAGTTTTTCTTCCAACACTTTATTTGACCTGTTTAAAAAGACAAAGAATCATCACAGCTCTCTTTTCCTTCTGGTCCCGCTGATAATGAGCGAGGGCCATAGAACCCTTACCATTACTAAAACTCAGTAATGGTAACGGTTTGACGGCCCCCCTCTCTGTCTCCCTGAAGTGTCTGTCCAGCACGCATCCAAGTGCGAGGAAGGAATGACCCCTGGATAGTACATCATCTATACTGTAGTGTCTCTTCATTAAACTTACAGTATAAGATGATATCCTGTCCAGGGCACAAGCTTCTTTTTCACAAATATTAAATATTCTTGATGTGTCCCATACTCACTCATTTGCGCAGGCAGCATCCCCATGCTTGTATGTGGGCTCCCTGTATGATCCCCCCACCTATTAGAAGGCTACCACAATCTCATTAACATATTGTGATAACAAGAGGGTTGGACTTTGTTTGTGCGTGTGTGTGTGTGTGTGTGTGTGTGTGTGTGTGTGTGTGTGTGTGTGTGTGTGTGAGTGTGTGCGTGTGTGTGCGCGCGTGTGCGTGCGTGTGTGTGTCTTATCTCGTCCCAACCTGCTTGCCCCTGTCCACACCCTGTCTTCATTTGCACAAAGAAAAATACAGGGTGTCCCCAAAAAATGGACATCATTTGCAATAACTGACAGCCTAGGCCAGTCGTTTGCAAACTTTTTACATCAAGTACAACATTGAGAAAAAAAAATACTTTGATGTCCAGTTACCACCAAAATACGCAATATTAAAAGACAGTACTGTATCAAATACAAGGCAGAGGTGTATTATAAACTTTAAAACTTTTTTATAGAATGATTCAATTTAAGTGTATTGCACATAAACGTTAGAAGTGAAACTTCAATACAACTAACTGGCAATCCTTAGAAATGTACTGAAATTGAAATGTAAAAAAAAAATGGATTGAAAGTAGCATAAACAGGCTGTAGCATATAACTACAATTGCCAGTCGAATACATTTAGACCCCAAGTTTTAAAGGGGATGTCCCCTCAAAAATGTTCTTTACAATATGTCCTATGCACCCCCATATAACTAAACATGGCATTCTGATTAATATTACGTTTGTAGAATATGAATGAAGGTGCAAAATCTACACATTTTTGTACCATCTCAGGGTGCGGCCATTTTGCCTGTTGCTGTTAATTGAAAATGACATGACATTTGCTCAGGGCTCAGGTAACGACCAATCTTGGCTCACCTGTTTTCTGGGTTTGGTCATGTGACGTTTATAAACTGGGCCGTGATTGGTCAGTACCTGAGGCCCGAGAAGCTGGGATGTCATTTTCAGTCAACAGCAAGTGGCCCTTTGTGTCTATTTTTTTTTCTATTTCTATTGAATTTCCTGGAAAATATACACCACACGCGTTTGGGATTGTGTTTGGGATTACAAAATTCCTTTTCATTGCTTGTGATTCTTCTCTCTGACATCAGTTTTTTTTTTTTGGTCAGATTTTACACATGAACTTCAAATGTGAGATATTTTGAATGTAGGGCGAGACTGCAAAATGTCTTGCTTTTTAGAGGAACACTATCTGTTCTATATTCAACACGAGAGTTCCTTTGATGCGGCATTTTGTTCGGCCGAACCCGGCAAACTATTGAAAAAAAAATCCTGCATGTAATAAAGTTCAATTTCCAATACGCAATTGCAATCTGACACTCCCACAGATTAATGTCTGATACTTGTGGAGATAAAAATGTAATACCGTGATATGTCAGATGATGATTTCTTATCTGACTTTTTTTCCTTAATGGATTTGCCCCTCCGAAATTCAAGGATTAGATTTTAACTGCATATGTGAGGCATCACATTCTCCTTCATGAAAGGAGACAGCTCAAAACATTAAAAAAAATATTCAATTACAAACTTTCTTGGTGAGTTTTTACTCTCACCATACAAATGAAGAAATGCTGCAAGAAGGGTGTAAGGTGTAAATTCATGAAATTATATTTTGAAGGCTTCTCTTATGGTTCAATAACTTTGGTCATCACGTTAAATGGTGCCTGGCTGTTTCCAAGGTAACACACTCCTTAGTTAGGGCGTGGCAGCAGTTTTTGTGGACCTGCAGGCCCAGATAAAGAAAGATGTCAGATTATCAGGGTGGTTTGCTCTTTTGCTATTTTATCTGCTCAGAGAGGCTCTTTTTTTTTGTTTTTTTCATCCATCAAATTTCCCCTCCCGTTAATTTGTTCGATTAGTTTAGCTTAGTGGAGGATTTTAAAATCTTTGTAGAGGTAGATCTAGAGACACGTTTTTGTTATGTTTAATCCAAATCAAATGCAGTTTGATCCTACTCAACCATCAACTGCACTATTTATCCAGTGCGGGGGTCAGCCGATTGGTGGCTGTTGCACAACTGTTGCACAAGAGGGATGGCTTTAGTTCCTCAGTATGATCATAATAAGTATAAAATGCCATTTCTGGAGAAATTGGGTGTGAATACTGAAATGCTAAAATGAAATAATATTGAAATGTGGACTGATATTTAATGATATGTAAGGATATTGAAAAATGTGTAATTATATGGACTGATATGATGTTGGTGAAAAATGTGGAATGGTACTGAATGATATTGAAAGTTATTGAATGATTTTGAATGATGTTTACTATTTAGTAATGTTATTTTTTTTCAATTGAGGTGTACAGTTTATAGGTTTCATAGAGGGCACATTGATGGTGTAAATATTTTTTGAAATGTTTAATCTTGCTTTCTTTTTTTTTTAATGACAAAACCTGGGATTTGAACAGGGGTACATAGACTTAAGTGCTGATTCAACCTGTTGCTAAGATCAAAATAACATTTTTAAAAAATTCCGGACAAAACGGGCACCGTGAACAAGCCAATGTGAGCTATGGGTGCTACACTGGTAACATGAAGTGTTTGTACAGTAAATATTCTTTATCCACTTGGGTTTTACTTTTGGGAGGATTATTCGTTCACTTAAAATGCAAAAAGAGGAGATAGTGGTGCTGTGTGGATGGAGTACACATTTAAAGCAAGATTCAAAAAAAAAAGTTGGAAGATGCAATTGAGCCTTAATTTTTTTTCCCAAATTTAGAACTCACTAAATTTTCCATTAGCCGGTCAATGTTATGTTTACAATTATAGCTAGCATTAGCACTGACAATGTTTCTACTGTATTTAACTATACAATGTGGACGATTCTTTTTGCTGTGCGTTTTGTTGACTATCCATATGTGCGCAGTACAGTGTCTACCTCATGTCATAGGCAGTACAGAAAATGGATGGATTTCACGGCAAGCACACAAAAGGCTTCAAGGGTCGTGGTACGTATATATTTTATTTGACGATGGCGCACAACATAGAGTAACATGAACACATGCTTCAAATGCCATGCTGGATCCGTTTGTCAAAAGATGAGAATTAGGAGAAGCGTAAATAGAAATCTTATTCATAATAGAGACTTTTTCTTGTATGACATACAAATGAAGGATGTTTTTAAGGCGTCGGTCTAAGGTTTGGTCTTGATCCACATCTCCAAAATTCTACATGGAGGAACACAGCTGCAATTTCTTTGCACCGAACACACCGGCCACAAATAACGTAATACAAAACAGGTGCGTGATATGAACGACAAAAAAAAAACAAAAAGCAAAACTTAAGTCTAGCTACATATTGTTTGTGTTCCCATGTATGTTGTTACCACTGAATGTTATAAAATACACGAAGCTGAACAAGTACAAAAGTAAAACAGACAGGTATGCATGTACAACGTTCACATCGACAGGTTACAATGAGCAATGTATAGCGCGGGAAGCGGAAATGAACGGGAGCTCATTACTAGCTCTACGTGATTGAAATCAGTCACAGCACACTCATGACCTCTTCTTTGACAAAGGCACTGTGTCCAAAACGCGTTACATCAGCATATTCCACTTCGAAGCTAGCAGCCGGCTCGATAAATGATCTGCGATTAAAGTCGGGTTACAGCAATGACACCTCATCCCGAAAATGGAGAACAGAAGGACCGCTCATTTCCAGCACCTCTTTCGTCACATGCAGTGAAACCTTGGTGAGTCGAGGTTCACTGTATTTTGATTTGAACACGCAACATCAGGGAGCACAAAAGGTCTTTTCATTTCAATCTACATTAAAAAAAAAAAACAAAAAAAAAACACCTAACTAACAAACAAACACAAAGGTGCCAATGGAACAATATTCACTTCATTTGACATATGATGCAACAGACTGAATTAGTGTGTGTCAAAGGTTTGTCAAAGGGAGGTTACACATGCAGCACTTGTTAGTTACTGTTAGTAAAACTATTTTTGTCATGGCAACAAACAAAGTACTTTTTTTTATCTGTTAAAAAACAGAACACAGTGTTACTGTGTAAACATTCCTGTGATACTAAAGTAAAAAAAATGCATTTGCTCACATTTATTTTGCACGAAATAATTTGTTGGATGAGGGGAACCAAACAAAACAAAAAAAATAAAAAAAATGATATTTTGAGTAGTGGGAATGGCCCTGAGCATCCACCACATGCTACGCAACATACTCCACGAGTAATGGGTGAGCCTGGCGCGCATCCAGGGCTCATTTAAGGCTACCCTTCCTTAACGTGGCTTGGTGTTCAAGAACGTTTTTGTGTGTTAGTAAAAAAAGGCAGATGTGACAGAAAGAAGATCAGGATGACACGGAGAAGCCAAAGCATTGTCGTAATAGGTTTTGGGCACTTGAGTGATGATTGGACAGTCAATGAGCACACTGGGACAACGAGAGGACAGGCGAGATGATGGCAATCTAATGGCGGTTCGACTTCTACAATCCGTGTACAGTCATGTTCTGTATATGTCAGCCACAATTCAGTCACAGCGGGTGAAGAGCAAGTGAGCGTAACAGCGGATGATCAAGTTCTCTCAGAGAAAAAGAAACACAGGGAATAAAAGGCTGCCAATTGTCACCAGCTCAGATTCAACATGAAATGAAATTTGGAACTCTTTGCAGCACAATCAGAATTTTCTCTCTTAAAAGTCACCTACATTTCAAATTTATTTACTCGTTCATTTGTTCCCTCTCAACACACGCATCTCCGCTTTTGTTTGGCTTGTTGATCTAAACCAGACTGCTGCATAAACTCCTGGCTGACCAGTAAGGGGATAAAACAAAGAAAGGTTACACCACAGCCTTTCATTTCGTTTGGTGGAAAGTAAAATCATAACAAAAAAAAAGATATCTCAAATCTCATTCGGTGTTTCTGGCAGTTTTGCATAAGTGGGTCAGAAGATTGAGAAAGTGTTGTCATGCTTGAGGCAGATACTGTTTATGCCGAAGAGGGGGTTGCTATTCATCAGATGGCTGTCTGGCCACTCATCTTCTGCAGTAATGGGATCTGTGGACAGAGAACACCTGCACTTAGCCCACAGACAACACGTGAACACGTGACTTTTCTGTCACTGTGATATGACAAAGGATGCCATTGTGTATAAGGTCCTTCAGTGCCCCCTGCTGGGCAACGAGGCAACCAAACGCTTCTGACCCCTAAAGTAGCTAAAATGCCAATCTACTACCTTTTAAATAAAAATTCCGGTATACCTAAAAAAAAAAAAAAATATATATATATA